GAAATATACAACAAAACAAAAAGTTCATATATAAAAAAAAATTCATACAACACTAATAAACAAACAACACTTATCTGAAACTCTTTCTCAAAGCAAATCTCTTGTAGCCTCTTCTAGGAAATGAAGGAAGAAGAAATCTTTCACTTTTCTCTTCACTTTTCTCCTTCTCCTTCTCCAACACTCTTAAAGAAGAATTCACATTTAATATCACCACAAAACTCTAAATTATAAAAACATTGGACTCTAAATGGTTGTGGAATGAAAATGGAGGAATGTGTGATGCATATAGGGTTGAATTAGGGCGATGAAATGTGAGGAAGAGTCACTTTTTTGATCAATTTTGACCCCAAATAAAGTCTAGAGTCGGTTCTCCAATAAGAGCCTCCAAGTACTCTTCAAAAAGCATCCAGATTAGTCGAATCTTCTAGAAACAGGGGCTGAACTGACATTGGCGTCGTCGGCGCCAGCGTTCCGCTATTTAATTCAATGCTCTCTGTCAAACTATGCCGTCAGCGCTGCTTCTTGCACCATCGACGCTGAACAAATTTTCAATTTCTTCATTTTTGCTCCAAATTTTATCATTTTTGCTTCATTTTTTCTTCAAGTTCTAAAATTCAACAACCTTAAAAAAAACATAAAAATACCTTCCATTAAAGTCCAATATCACAAAAAATGAGTATAAAATATGAGTCTAAAAATATGAGTATAAAAAAAATGAGTATAAAATATGAGTCTAAAAATGCATATATTTTTGGTGTATCATTCTTCATTGACTTTACAATTTGTTCACTTGTAAGGTTAAAATTTTTAGAGAAGCATAAAGACATGGGAGGGTTATGAATTCACCCAACTAGTGAGTATCACACTTCATTCTAGATAGAGGTATAATTCAAACCAGAAGTGTATAAATTTACACAATAATAATCAAACACAAAAAAATTTACGTGGTTCGGCGTTTGGTTAATTCATCTACGTCCGCAGAGAGGGAGATTCCACTAAACTAGATAGAGGGAAAGGAAACAAGCTTGGGTTACAACTTTCCCACGCCTTATCTCTCTCCCGTAAACACTAAGTCATCTTTTATAGAGGAGGCTTAGAGCATATGAAGAAAGACAAAAAAAAGAGAAATAAATCAATTATAATAAACCAATAAATACAACAATTTTCACCTTATCTCTTACTTCCAGATAAGTAAGAGATAACCAAATGAGCTCCAAACTCTAATTCAGCTGCAGTGTAGTTCCAAAATGCTAAACTGGGCAATCAGTCCCAAGCTCAAATATTCACTAAACTCCTACAGTATGCGAACTTTCGTATTGGTTGTGAGCATGTCCATTGTATTCTCCTTCGTATTCAACTCTTTCAACAGATCAACCTTGCCCTCTTCATTCAAGTCTTAAATAAAGTGGTACCTCACATTAATGTGATTGGTATGAGGATGATGAATTGGATTTGTGACCAAGAATATTGCACTATGACTATCACATAACACCGTTATAAACTCCTGAACAACTTTCAAATAATTCAATATACCTTGCATACATATTGCTTCCTTCACCGCTTCCATGACTATCATGTACTCAGCCTCTATAGTAAAAAAAACAACAGTGGATTAAAGAATTGACATCCAACTGACCGAACTTCCTACCAAGGTGCATAAATAGCCAGTCGTAGTTCTCCGCCTATCCATATCACTACATTTTTTGTGTTAGTGTAACCTACACAAATCTACATTGGATGACTACCTCTCAAACATTAAGCCAACATCAATTGCACCCTTCAGATGCCTCAGAATACTCTTCACAATCTGTCAATGACTCTTCCGTGGATCATGCATGAATCTGCTCACTACACTAACTATTTGTGCAATGTCTGGTCTAGTACAAGTTATGATATACATAAGACTACGCACTACACTAATATTAGGAATCAACCACATATCTTTCTTCTCCTGATTATCTTTAAGACACTAACTTGAACTTAACTTGAAGTGAGATATAATGGGTAGACTCACCACCTTGATCAATTCATCAACCCCAAATTTCTTCAGCAACTCCGAACATAAGCTTCTTGTGAAAGTCAAACCTTTCCAGCTGTCTTATACCTGAGAATCTCCATGCCATGAATTATGCGACCTTCACCCAACTTCTTTATTTCAAAATGTTTGGACAGTTGATTCTTCATCCTATGAACCTCAATTTTGAAAATGCATGATGATCATATTGGCTCCTCATGTACTCATGTCCACTCATAAACTGATAAAATTTTTTATACCACTGCCGTTGTGACTGCTTGATCGACCTATACAAAGACTTGTACAATTTGCAAATTAAGTCTTTTGATGCTCCATATCCAGGTGGCTACAACATGTAGATCTTCTCTTACAATTCTCCGTATAGGAATGCAATCTTTACATAGAATTGTTTCAAGATTAGATCGTACTATGCAACAAGTGCTAAGAGAATAGGGATCGAGAGATGTTTGATCACTGGAGAGAACAATTTATCATAATCAATCACTTCTTGTTCCATAAAATCTTTTGTCACTAATCTTGTCTTATACCACACATCAGTTCCTTGAGGTCATTCCTTCTTTGCATACCCCAATTTGCACTAGAAAACTTCACCCACCTCCAAGTACCATTCTTCCAAAGAGAATCCATCTCTTCATCCATTTCTGCTCTAAAAAAATCACAGTTTGAGCTTTCCTCCATTTCTTTGTAGCGACAAGAAATTTTAACCTCTGTGAATAAAAGTGCAAATGCAATTTGATCACTCAACCAAGCTGGTTTTAAGACATTGTGGCACCTGGTCTTGCTCCTAACAATGGACTCATGAGCAAGATTCTTATCCTCAACATCTTTTTCCACCTTCTCCTGAGCATTATCAACAAATATCTCTTGAGCTGCAATTAAATCAGATATCTGAGTCAGAGTGGACAAACATTATGGAACAAATTAAGTTGCATCAAACTCTAACTTTTGAATTACTGCTTTATCCCAGCTCTCTGACATTCTTGCAAAAACGCATTTGAAGTGTATTTGCCCCAATTGTATGATTTAATACACCACATTTTTTTATCGGTATGAGTCTCAATCTACTTCTTATAAGTTATGAAAATCTACATCACTTTACTTTTACGCTTCATGGTGTACACCCAAACATATTTGGAGTAATCATCAATAAAAGAGACAAAGTATTTATGTCCATTGAACGATGTTGTCTACGTTGGGCCCCAAACATTTTGTGTGAACATACTCTAAATTACATTTTGTAATGTGAATCATAGTCCCAAAAGATGCCTCGTGAGCCTTGTTGCTAAAAAGAATGCTCACAAAAATAAAGTATGCAAATGCTCGCTCATTTAATCAATCCTTTCTTCACCAAATTCTGAAATGAAGTCCCTCCAGCATGAGCTTAGCTACATATGTCAAAAACCTCGGACAACACATGCCACATTTGCTGCCGTCAACGCCAGACCTTACTATGATCATGAAATCAAATCTATGATACCAACTGTTATGCGAAAATAATAAAGAAGCATAAAAATTCACACAACAACAATCAAACACAAAAGATTACGTGGTTTGGTGTTAATTAAGTTGATTTGCTTACGTCTACAGGAATGAAGGTTCCACTGGTACCGAATGTGGAGAGAGAAAACAAAACTTCCACACACCTCACCTCTCTCTGATAAATACTAAGACCTCTTCTGTACATGAGGCTTAAAGTATATAAAGAAAGAAAGGAAAAAAAAACAAACAAACAAACAAATCAATTATAATAAATCCATTAAATATAATATAATTATTATTTCATAATAATTCTAGTTCTCTATAAATAGTATTTCTCGAATGTGATTTAGGAACAAATCCAAATCCAAATCCAACAATTAGATTCACGAATTTATAAATATACATGACGATAATGACATGCCCCAACCCACATGGTTAATCATTATTTATTGATTCAAAGCTTTCAAAAAGTCAGATTCCCGCAGGTGCCGTGGATGGAGCAATCACAACGAGGAGTAGCTGATAAAATTTGGGTGCTTAAGTTGATAAAACTACAATTACCATCACCATCTAAGATTATATTTCCATTACAGCTAAACCATCCTACACTAACCATTCATAAACAAAATTAGAGAAACGGCCCAGGAGTTTTTGACGGGGAAGAGTTATTTCGCGTGAGTTTTGGCGTCAGGATTCCTAACGTACAATTATGTTTGGATTGGAATTTTCGGCTGTGTTACGAGAATATTTCATCTGCATTATTTGTAAAAATGATGTGTTATTCGAGTATTATATGATATTATTCAATTATTTTACGGTGTTATTGAAATATTTCTCAGAGTTACTTGATTTGGGACTGTGTTATTTGACATATTCCTCGTGTTATTTCAATTTACATCATGTTATTGGAATAACAAAATCCCAAATCAAGTAATGCAGGGGAATATTACAATAACACTGTAGCCTCAAATCACGTAACGCGATGAAATATTTTCAATAACACCGCAAAATAATTGAATAACACTATATAATACTCAAATAACACATTATTTTTACAAATAACGCAAATGAAATATTCATGTAACACTGCAGGATATTCCAATCAGAATGTAGCTCTACTTTAGGAGTCCTGACGTGGTATTCTGTAGGTAAATATGAATGATTTTTCAGGTAAAAATCCTTTTCTGAGATAATTGAACGATACAAATTCTGGTACCGCAGTGCATCATTGGTGAAATATTTGCGTACATAAGATGTACGCAGCGCTGCGTACATCAGAGATTATTCTGGGGGTACAGGGGAGTTATATCAGGGTTATACCGGAGGTTACAAGGGGGTATAACCCAGATATAACCCCATTGTACCTCCTGAATAACCCCTGATGTACGCAGCGCTGCGTACATCTTATATACGCAAATATTTCTCGCATCATTGGGGCCGCAAGTATCACTATCTGGAGCAAATACTGGGTGGTACATTTGGTATCGTGGTGATATTATATCCGAATACTATAAATCTTCATCAAATTCCTACATCTAATCCACACTTATTTTATGCACACATCCACCCTTAATATTTTCTCCACTATCAGCATTGAGGCGGCCCACCTTCGCCGTACCGCGTCCACTGACGCGCACCGGCAGCCCGCCTCTCATTTTTAACGTTAAGATGCTCCGGACACATGTCCTTTTCAACAAGAACTTGTACCTCAAACCGCTCGATCACGCAAGCTGCGATCGACTTCATCTGTATGTAAGCCATCTCCTTCCCCAAACACATCCTCGGCCCCCCGTGAAACGCCGGAAATCTAAACGGACTATCCGGCCTGAACTCTCCGCTGGCAACATCCAGCCACCTCTCCGGCCTGAAATCCTTGCAATCCTTACCCCATATCCCTTCCATCCTCCCCATCGCGTACGCGTTGTACGACATAAACCACCCTCTTTTTATCTCCGTTCCATCCGGCAACACCTGGTCGGCGCCGCAAACCGCCGAGTTGAACGGAACGGGAGGATAAAGCCTCATTGCTTCGGTCAACCGTCAACGCTGCGTGCAAGTAATGCATTTGCCGCAGCTCATCCAGGCCAAATCCGGCGCCGGCTGCACTGACGGTCTTTACCTCGGCTAGTATCCGACGCTCGACGTTCGGGTGGGAGGAGAGAAGCCAGAAGAACCACGTGAGTGCTGAAGAGGTTGTGTCGCGGCCGGCGAGGATGAAGCTGATGATGATGTCGCGGAGGAACTCGTCAGAATTATTTTCTTCGTCAGCGATGAACCGCGAGAGGAGATCATCTCCTCCTCCACCGCTTTGTAGATACAGAGTCTTTTTCCTGGATCGTATGATCTTCATCGCGAAATCGTGAACAGTTGCGACGGACTCGCGAAGCCGTCTCTCAGACCCAACGTCGAGCAATTTCTTAATCTTCCAGAAACCCGGAACCGCGTAGCGGAATCTCCCTGCACTTAGGTATGCAGCGTTGCTGAAGGAGGAAGCGAAGCTGGCGGCTAGACCTGAATCGAAACAGAAGGGATCGAGGTATCCAGGGTCCTCATCGAAGGCGATTTTGCAGACGTTGTCGAAAGCTAAGCGCTCTAGGGCATCCTGGAGGTCTATGGATTTGCCGGTTTCGGCTGCGCGGCAGAGAAAAGGGATGAGACGGTTGGAGATCTCGTTGTTGACGGCACGATGGACGAAGGAGCGAAGAGAGCGGGTGTTGAACTCGAAGCTGGCCGTCTTGCGCTGGATGCGCCAGAGGGAGCCGTCGGAGTTGAAGATCCCGCGGCCGAGAAAATCGTGGAGAGTGTTGCGGAATCGATTGCCTTTGGGGAAGTTTTCGAAGTGAGATTTGAGCATGTGCTCGACGTTGTCCGGGTTCGCTGTGATGACGCCACGGATACCGCCGGGGCGGTGGAAGATGAAGGTGTTGGTAGGAGAGGCGGCGAGGAGTTCCGTGGACCACTCAAGAAAGCGGTGGCGGTTGCAGAGGAATTGGGGGAGGTGGCCGATGATGGGGTAGGGCTGCAATCCTGGCGGGTAGTAGGGCTTCTTTTGTGGGAATTGCTGTATGGGTGAGGAGAAGAGGAGTAGATAGATTGAGATGAAGGAGATGAAAGCTAAGAGGATTAGGGAAAGGAGGAGTAATACGTGGGTTGTCAAGTGGATTTCCATTTTCTTGACAAAGAGTGAAGAGGAAAAGATGAAGTAATACGTGGGTTGTCAAAAAAGTTAGTTGTTCGCGACTAAGTATTCGGTTTATTAAAGAGTGTGTTTAATTGGTTCGATAATTAAATGAGATGAACGTGAACAAATTTTTTTATTTGGTAAATTAGATGAATCAAATACAAACTGTGATACGTTCGTTCATGTTCGAATCGTTATTATTCGAAATATAAAATAATTTAAAATAATTATATATATATATATATA